TAGCATGCATGATTGAAATTGAATAACATCATATGTTTCTAGATTGCCTAAATTATATAAACTGCTTGAACTATTTATTACACTATTTTCAACACATTTTACACTGGGTGTTGAGTTATTTCTTTCAGGAAACATGTGTTGATTAAACTGCAGAATTGTTCAAATCAGTTAGTTTGTCGTAGGTTGTGAGTCTGTAATTTATTTTTGATTACAGTCTTGACCTAGTTAGTAATTTTGTCACAAAATGCCAAACGGGGAGTTTATTAGGTTTTCAATGTTTTCTTATTGGCGATTCTGTAAACAAAAGGACTGAATTGTACTATATTTAAAAAGTCAATAAGTAATGTACAAATGGTTGAAAATAGGGTTAGTAGGTCTAGGGTTCGAGAATGGCAAAAAAAGGAAAATGTCGCGGATTTTCGATAGACTGTCGCCAATATTTGGCTCGAGCTACAAAAGCAGAAACAATGCTACTAGACTGTCGTCGCTACTTCCCTCGAGCGATGGTCTGTCACTCGACTGTCGCTGAGCCTTCGTTCGAGTAACAGGTTTATTCGAAAAATTTGTGTTTCACATTTTAAAAGCTTTTTCCTTAGCCAATTCGTTTTTCTAACCTACCTATATATACCAAAATGCTTCTGTACGAAATAGATGAGTTGAACATTGAGAGAGCTACATCTGTGATAGATTCATTCAATTCTTTCTTTCAACCTTTAAATACTTTGATTGTTTTGGTGAAAAAACATCGTTTCTATAACCCAAATACCAAATTACATTTCCTCTACATCTGGTCAGAGTTCTGAAGATCGAGAGAGTTTGACTGGAGTTCCAGTCTGTGAAGAACGCAGTTCTTCGTGGATCCATGGGAGATAAACGATTTCACAAAGTTAGGAGTTGTTGCAGGAGATTGAATATAGGAGAGCTTTGGAAACTGCAACTGGGAGTGGTGCAGGAGCACAGAATCCAGGAAAGCTGTTGGAATTGCAGTCAGGAGATCAGATAGTACATGTCGTCATCTAGGCTGGTAGACTGTAAGTTACATATCGTTTATAGTTGATTGTTGACTGGCAAAGTGCCCGAAATTTTTCCCAATTAGAATTCTCTGTAATCATTCTGGTGTTGATTTACTACTTTCGTTATTGTTTATTGATTGAGCACATAAACTACGGTATTCAAACATAGGACTAAAATGACTTACATGTTTCATCATCTAGATTAGAATTAAAAAGTGACTTATTGCTGTTTAATTCGTAAAATATTTTTAATTCCGCATACCTATTCACCCCACTCTAGGTATTGTTAGGGTCGAATTGCGTAATTTTCATTTTGGAATCCAAACCCAAGTGTTAAACTTGAGCTACTTGAACTGAAAATTTGGCTTCTAATTTTCCAACATTGTAGAATAAATGATTTTTCATTTTCCTACCAAATTTCAACTCCAACTATTTTCAGTTAGAGTAGCTCATTTTGATCTTAATTTCTCATTCATCTGAAAATTATTTTGAGAAACTAATTATACTACTATGATCGACTCACGGAGTAGAACATGTTTGATCAAAGAACTCCGATATTCAACTAACGGATCCCACTTAAATAATTGATCAAAATTAGTCAAAACCAACTTATTGCTAACCAATTTCCAGCACTTATAAGTCAAATTATAAGTTACTCATAATAAAATTTTATATAAGCTTGGCCGAACATGCGCTTAAATAAGTAAACATGCATTAAAGGTTTAAAAAACAGATGCCGGCGGCATTACAGGCGACACATTTGAGTGATAAAAGCCGACATTTGTCATTCGTTCATGTATTCGATGCAAATTTAGGATTAGCCGATTAGCCGGCTGGCCGCCCCTATAAACAAAAACAACCTTGATTTTGCTCTAATGTTCTTTCTTCCCCAACGTTATCGTATTTTGTTACAAAAAATCTGTCATTGAGTGTTCATTGCCAATTGTTAGTTTCTTACATTCGTCTAGCTCAAATGTTAGTATTACAGCGGCAAGAACTTGTAAATTTTGGATTAGACTAGACGATTAACAGCCGTGGTGGAACCAAAATACGATGAATGCCTAATTGAAACAATCGAGGACACGTTTTATACGCTATAATGGACTAGACTCAACAAGACAACAATAACAACATTTAGTTGTGATTAACTTTGTTTTAGATCTTTTAACCCATGTTTGGTAAGGATTAAAATTTAGATTTTAATTTAAGTCAAAGTCAGCAATTAATTTTAATCACACATTTCGTAAGATTCATAACGTTTCAGCTACACATTTCACCAACTTTTATCAAAATCTACTAAAAATCTGATTTTAATCTCCACAAATTAGAAACTTTATATATCTGGTAATAAATTGGCAGACTATTAAAAAGAATTTAAGTAATCAACCCAAAATTCATATAGAAAAATGTTTAGCCCTTGTCTGACAAAGAATTATTTGAAAAATGATTTTTGTAAGTGTTTTCTCGGAGAAATGTGCTACAAAGTATGAAAAAGTTATAAGGAAATGCGAAAATATTTCTTTTTGAAAAAGCGGGGTTAAAAATAAGCATAGAATTTCAAGTAATCACTTTTAAATGAGGAATTAGTTATGTTTCTCTGTATTCATTTTCAATAATATATTCTTAAAAAAAAAAAAAATCATTTTTCACATTTTCTCATAACTTTTACCTACATTTTATCAATACATGTTTTCAAAATATTACTTTTTAAATAATCACTCATATACAAGCTCTAAGTATTATCTTCTATATGCTTATTATTCAACGAGTAGTTGCTTATAGAAAACTCTATATATGTCTACTCAAAAATAAATAAAATACAATACGAGTACACAACAAGTCTTTACTTTATCCCCTTATTTTATTTTTATACTTGGGCAGAGCAACAAGCTTCATTAGTGGAAACATCAACTTCCATTATATATATAACCATTATGTTATTGTTCCAAACAAACACTTCATCATAAAACATGACCAAAATGAAGAGTACGATTAATAATGGAATGGAGAATACCCTAGAAAAGAAGCACTTCGTGCTGGTTCATGGAGCATGCCATGGGGCATGGAGTTGGTACAAAGTGGCAACACTACTGCGTGCCGAAGGCCACCATGTCACCGCCCTCGACATGGCGGCTGCCGGAGTTCATCCGACACAAGTGGAGGAGCTCGGCTCTTTCTCCGACTATTGCAAGCCACTGATCGAATTTATGGCGGCTTTGCCACCAGATGATACGGTGGTTCTAGTAGGCCATAGCATGGGTGGCATTTCCATTTCTGTTGCTATGGAAATGTTTCCTCAGAAAATTTCTGTCGCTATTTTTGTCACGGCCTTCATGCCTGCTCCTCACCTTAATGTTCCTACCATTATTCAAGAGGTAATTGATGGCAAGCTATTTATCTGTGTTTTTTTCTTTAGTAAGATCTATATTTAAATTAGAGAAATTATTAATCTGTCCTTTGAAAAAAAAAATATAGGAATTTCAATGATAATTTTATCGATGTTTTATTTCAACAAATTTTAATCTAGCCACCCCCTATTGCTACCCTCCCTCAAGAATTTTATTGCATATCGTGTTGAATTTTTCGATTTTCATTACAAATTAAGCCATATTGTGATTAAGGATCTAGGTTTTACTTTTGATCAGGGTCGGTCTTGAAATTTTAGGTGCCATGTGCGACATTTTAAAATGATGTCTCTTTCGTGTAATTAAAAAAATCTTACAGGCACCAATAAAAAACTCAAAATGGTGTTTTACCCTTCTAGAACCAAAAATATGTAACAATTTTTTTTATTTTTTTTTTGGTGCCCCGCAATGCTGAGACCTTGTGCCTTTGTACCACCTACGCTTTTAGGACCGCCTCTATTTTTGATAAAACATGATGGGAGAATTTTGGATTTTTTTTCCAACCCTTTCTAATTCACTGAATCGTTTTTATTCTTTGATAATAAATTAACCATAATTATTTAAAATTATTCAGAGCAATCGACGTATGGATCATACTTTTATGGACAGTCAAATCTCATTCGGTAAAGGAAAGGACAAACCTCCAACCTCTCTCGTCTTTGGCTCCAAGTTCTTGTCCACTGTCTTGTATCAACTTTCCCCTCCTGAGGTGAGTATATGCACTTTAAGCCATGTTCGATATAAATTAAAATTCAGATTTTAATATAAATATTAATTTTAATCATATATCTTTTTTGAAATCCACAATTTTTCAATTACAAATTTCATTAATTTTTATCAAAACCTACTGAAAAGGCTAATTTTAATCTCCACTAAACAATGGCTAAATTTTATTTCACTTTAGACACTGCGTTATTCAAATAATAGAAAATGGTCAGTATTTTATTGTCCAAAAGGCCAAAAAATACGTATTGATGGACAAGTCGTGCTTCTCAAATACGTCTGTATAAGGAAATAAAAAATAAATAGATAATAGGAAAAAGAAAGGAAGAATTGTCTAACAAGATACATATTTTCTTAATTGGACGATTCAAATAATGCAATTAAGAAAGATTTTTCATGACATGCGTGTTGACATTTCGTTAAATGCTATTTTAGAATGACACATTGGTTGATGATATTTACACGATCCACTTAATAAAGTGAGGACAATCTTCCCTTAACAAGCCGATTTTGTTAGGTTGAATTAGACTCAATATCCTTTCTAATATGATATCAGAGTGAGGCCCAATTTTGCAATGTTAGGTGCACCCACTATCGATTTATTCACAGTTGTTTGGCATGTTACACCCTGTGCGTGAGGGAGTGTATTAGAGTCACACATTGACTAGTAATATTTACACGATCCACTTAAAAAGGTGTGGACAATCCTTCCCTAACAAGTCAGTTTTGTTAGGTTGAGTTAGACCCAATATCCTTTCTAATATGTTATTCAAATAATGGAAAATGATCAGTGTTTTATTGTCCAACAAGGCAAAAAATATGTATTGACGGACAAGTTGTGCTTCTCAAATACGTCCGTATAAGGGAATAAAAAATAATTAGATAATATGAAGAAGAAAGGAAGACTTGTCTAACAAGATACATATTTTCTTAATTGGACGGTTCAAATTATTAGAAAGATTTTTTATCCACATGCGTGTTAACATTTCGTTAAATATTCAACCGACACAATAACTAGGAACAAAAAATGTTCGATAATCAAACCTGCCCTCAGTAGACGAGGTAAAAACTTCTCATTGCTGATATGATAAAAGAACCTTACTGAAGTTTTTATCAAGAGATCAATTTCAATCAAAGTGAGACAATACTATAAGTTCAGTGATTTATAATGCTTTTAATCCATAATTTTATACCACACCGTTCTTGACAAACTTGACGTAAAACTGAACTTGTTTAATCTATTTCACTCTCGTGGCTTGTTTGATTCGATTCAATTTAACGTTCATACATTTAGTAGCTGAAATTAATTTCTGATAACCAATTATAATTGAAACAGGACTTATCTCTTGGAACCCTTTTGGTTAGACCCATAGGGCTCTATGACGATGCAGAAATGCTGAAAGAAACAGTCCTCTCTACAAAAAATTATGGCTCAGTTCCTCGTGCTTATATAATAAGTGAAGAAGATAAATTTATTAAGGAGGATTCTCAAAAGTGGATGATAGAAAATAATCCATGTGATGTGGTGAAAACCATTTGTGGTTCAGATCATATGGTTATGTTCTCCAAACCACAAGAATTGTGTTTTTTCCTACAAGAAATAGCTCAAAAATATTATTAGTTACACTTATTATTTCTCATTACATGTCAATTGTTTGTCTAAATCGTATGATGTTTGGCCACGTGTTTGTCTTCTTGCCATTATGTAACCGGTGTGGGAGTTGGGTTTTTGTGGCTATGGCTTTGTACAAAAGGGTACAATGATTTGTTCTGAGCTCAAAATGCTAGAATTCGTTTCTTGACTTTGTGCAATATTGGTCTGTAATTCTTGTTTGTTTTGCTTCCGTTGTGCAATTGGCTTTACAAAAATAATTAACAAAATAAGTTAACGGCCACCACATTTTTATCCCAAAAAAAAAAAAACTTAAAAATACACTCTAATATAATTTTTGAAAAATACCTTTTTACGGAAAATCATTGTTTTCCATGATTTACCTCTTTTATAATTATTTTAACTGCTCATTTTCATTTTAAATTGACATTTCAATTTTTTTGTTAAAACCCAAGAGTTTTTATGAATTATTTGTTAGGATAACATATATGTTACTATCTTATTTATAGAGTAAAGTTACAATTATTCTATTTTTTAAATAAAAAACAATACTTTAGAAAAATTATACACTAAAAGAACAATTCACAAAGAGGAATTTTTTTTTTTTTTTCAATTTTTTACATTTTGAACAATTTACAAAGGAACAAGAAAATCATATTGCGAATTTTTTTTTTTTTTTTTCCCTCTAAAGCACCCTCGGGCCACATCCATAAAATAGAATAGACCACGTCCATTTCTAATAAAGAAATTGAACTAATTTGCTCCCACGTCTTACTTCCAAAGTGGAATGCATTTGGAAACATTGTTAATTCATTCTACATAGGATAATATCTTTGGCATCTTTAACTTGTTCAAGAAATCAAATTCCACCATTGTTTTATTACAAAACAAGGATAGATACCTTTCAAATTTTTGTCTCTTAAAGACAATTTTCTCAACAATCTTCACCTTGCCAATAAACAAAACAATTTCTTATCTCATTTGCTGCTCTTGATCATGATACTTAGGAAAAATCGATATATTTTGACAAGCTTTAACACACGCAATTTTCAAAACAAAGATTTAACATACTTCACCATATAAGTAGAATCACTTAAAATTACAAAAAATTATAAAAAAAAAATTCATTGGCTTATATCGAACAAATTTGCTGAAAAATTATTGTGCAACCCCTACTTGACTTTCGTAGGAGCTTAACAGAGATCAACATCAATTCCACAACAAGCCTTGCATCAATGTCGAGTCAATGCCTATGTGCAAATATGTGTACCGCTAGTACGTAGTCACACGTCTTCTAAGATAGCAACTAACACATTCCATGAGGATATACATATCTTTAGCATAATTGACGTCCCCCATAAAGAGTGACTAACTGTTCATCTGGGTTCGAGTAGTTAGTCAAGTCTACTCCACCTTTTGAACAATTTTACCTTATTTGATCAGGATGGGGTTGGTCTTCCTTTCAAAGTCATGTGCAGTCTAGACTAAATCAGCACATAATGATTTGTACATGCCACATTCAAAATTGATTCTTGTATCAAATTTATTCAAGTAACTCGACATGTATTTTTCTATGCTTCAACACCAAAAAAACTTGACTCTCTGATATCAGTTACGAGTATTGGCCAAATCCCTTTAGTTTGTCCTAACAAGACAAAAAATATATATATAAAGGGGGTGTTTGATGCACATTATTGAGAAGAAAATGCATTTTATAATGTGATGTGATGGAAAATATGTGGTTAAAAAATAAGGAAAATTTTTGAATTTGCATGTAATGTGACGCTGGGCAGAATAGTGATTATTCTGCAGGCTGAAACCAATAGACAATAATAGAGAAGACCGCAAGAGAATAACAATAAGAAAAACGAGAAAAATCTTTATTATTCAACAACTGAACGAAAATAACCCACAATTCGGGTTAAATAGNCACAAGTCGGGTTAAATAGTTAGAAAATAATAATTTTCGGAATTTTATCCAAAATAGCAAAATCATATTATTCATACCAAAAGGAAATACTTAATGACGGAAATAAGATCCCAAAAATTAGGCTTCATTTGAGATCGTAGTCTATGTCAAAATGGAAATTGAAATATTACTAAAATTGGCAAAAAAATAACTTCAATTGATGATTCAGAAGGGAAAACAACTGAATTTGGCCTCGAAACCATTATACACCGAGCATAGTTGGGTGATCACAACATGCGCGTCGACAAGAGCTTTCCGAATTGGGGTCATGGGCGTGATTCTGACAACCATAGCCAAAGTTATGGCCAAAATACCGAAACGTGTCCAAAAATGCCCCAATTAGGAAAGGTCTATGATTATTTTTCAATTTTGCGCTGATCCGTCAACTCATGGTATCTCAGCGCCATTAACGTACTATCAGATAACTCGGCCTCGTCTGACTCGAATCCTCCTGCATCATAATGTTATTTTATTGAAGAATACGTGGTTAAAATGAGTATTGAAATAATGAATTTTGAGAAGAATGTGGATCAAACGGAGGGAAAACTTATAATTAAGTTTCACAAGGTCATAACTGAATAATCTTGAGTTTGCTCCGAATCAATTACAATTAAGCTCAAAATGCCCTCTTCAAGTCAATTGCATTCAAATTTAGATTTTACCTACAATTAACATACTTTACACATAATTAAGTAAATATTAGCTCAATGAACAATGTTAGTGGTACATCATACCTTACATAAGGGTGTCCATAATGGACACCCAGCACTTCTCCATTGGATGAAGTGTCGACCCCACGGCACTTCATCCAATGGAGAGGCGCCGGGTGTCCATTATGGACACCATTATGTAGAGTGTGATGTACCACTAGCACAACCCTTAGCTCAATATACCAATAAATAAGCAAGTATAGGTGCCCAAATAAGTGCATAATGTGATCTTTTCAGCGTGGCTGAAGTTAGAGCACAATAAGAGGGGATGACTAGTGAAACAGTCCAAGGAGAAGTAGCCAACAACACTTGAACGAGTGGTCGTGGATGCCAAATATATGTCCGTGGTCACACTAAGATGGTTGATAATTTGTGCCGAGAGTAACTAGAGATATGGGAAGTGTGGATGTAGTCCAATATGTTGCCAATTATTCGAGGGTTTTTTTTAGCTATATGAACAAATGTAGAAAGTTGAAGTTATTTGTCAGTTATGGATTGAAGATGAGCCTTAAAATTAAGTAATTTCTCGTAAAGCTCTTCGAAGGTGATTGTCTCGAGCACAGATATTAGAGGAGATATGTTTGTATTCTTTTAATAGTAAGATTTTCGAAGTGAATAGGAGTTGAGAGTGAGCTCATTGGCTTTTCTCTTCAATACTTGATAGCTTTCAATTATAATATTAGAGAATTTATCAGTGCAAACATCTGGCTCTTGAGTTGCATGATTTGACCACAAAGCATAGTTGTTGCTATTGTAGACCATTCATCACACGAAATTCGAAGGACACAAAATGATATTATGGTTATGCTACAAGTAATCAATAGATGAAGTTGCGAGATTTGATTAAATCAAAATCTTACCAACCAAATAATAAAAAAGTAATGTCATGTAACAACTGAGATTATAACCTCAGTTTAGGTGGCGCTAGATAATAAATTAAATGAAAGGTAAAATTAAATTACTTAGATTGTGTTTGATAGGAGATATTTTCCATGAAAAATGGAATTCAAATTTCATTTTCCATCTTTTGGCATGTTTGATGATACAAATTTTCCCTGAAAAACTTTTTCCATAATTCCCTCACACATGCGCCAACTCCATGGTTTGGTGGAATTGGTTTTCCCACTTTTTTGGTGGGAAAATGAATTCCATGTTGATTTTTTTTTTCTTTTTTTTTTATGTAAACAAATTTCATAATCAATTGAAAAAAAAAAATTTTACTTTAATTGACAATTTTCATGTAAAATAAAGCCAAACGAGCACTAAATTTTGATTAAAAAAATGATTTTTTAGGAATCTTTTTTACTTTCTGGCAATGAAAACAAATTTTATAACCAATTGTGAAAAAAATTATCACTTTCATGGACAATTTTCATCTAAAATAAAGTCAAACAAATACAAAATTTAAAAACTTTCGGGGTGGAAAATTACAACAATCAAACACACTTAATTTCCAATTCCCTAGAAAACAATTTCTAGATAGTTACTTTCCCTGAAATTCATTTTCTTTCCACCCATTTTCCACCCTTGCAATCAAGCGGACCCTTATTTATTTCCATCAATCATTTAAAGCTACATTAACGTCGCTTAAACTGGTGTGTAACTCCAATTGGATTAGATAACATTACTCGTAATAAAAGAAAATTCTCCCCTTTCTTTTTATCACCTCATCAATCTACAAAAGAATTTGTAAATGATGATATACAACAATTATTTTCCATGATATTAGGGAATAATGAATCACGAATTGCTTTAATAATCAATGGGTCTAATCCAACGAGTGAAGTTGGATTTGAGGAGATGATACCATTAATTTGTTTGGTGGTCAACCGACAATGATAGATCCATCAACATAGTCCATAAGGACATAAACAATGAAGTGGGTATGAAATTGAACGTGTCGAGAGGAATAGTAAGTATTAGTGAGCTTGAAAGGAGCTTAAGCCGAGATATTAAGAAAAACATGATGGATAGGAGAATCGGCAGTTATGTGAGAGAAAGAAGGGATGGCAGTTGTGGCAGCAGTACAGGCTACCATGGTGACTCCTTTTGTTGGAGAGGATTCAATCGAAGACGTAGGGATAGCTGGTTAAGCGTTTCAAGATCTAGAATTGATTTCTCGTCAGTATTGTGCTTTGATACCATGATTAAAAAAAATAACACTTGGAACATTATTGAGCAATCTGATTTATTATCTCATTAAAGATGGTGATGTGCTGTAGTCAGACTCAAATATTAGAGAGTTACAATTAGGGTTGGGCCCATGAAGGGCCTAGTAGGGACAATTTCCTCCACTGAACTCTTAATTTTTGAAATAGTAAAAAAAAGAT